TTTAAAAAAAAAAATATAATAATAATAATAATAGTAATAATAATAATAATAATAATAATAATAGGAAGAAGAAGAAGAAGAAGAAGAAGAAGAAGAAGAAGAAGAAGAAGAAGAAGAAGAAGAAGAAGAAGATAAATAAAAGAAAAAGTAAGCATTGTCGAAAACGAAATGATGTTTTTCCTACCAATGAAAGGAAGATGAAGTCGAGAAGGATTTACCGATGCGAAAATTGTGAGGAGTTTCGAAGGAGTCGTTTGGTGGACGTACCCTGTCAGAAATGTTTTCATGCAAAAACGAAGCTCAAGAAGAAGAAGAAGAAGAACGACAACAACAAGAAAAAGAAAAAGAAAAAGAAAAAGAAGAAGAGGAGGAGTAGAAGTTGGAGAAGTAAGGGATGGGTGATAAGGTCGTTCCTTCCAGCTACGGTTACACGATCATCCAGAAACATCATGCAACCGGCTGGTCAGAGTTCGAGGGTGGATTCAATCTAGTAGGATTACGCTGGCCTTCCCCCTTCTCCTCCTCCTTCTCTTCCTCCTCTTCCTCGTCCTCATCTTCATCCTCCTCATCCTCCTCATCCTGTTCGTTTATATATTCCACAGCATCTACATCTACCTTCTCCAAAGGACGACGAACCGATCGAAACTTCCTACAGCTTTCACTCCCTTGGCTTGGATCGTCCTAATATACGAAATATTTTCCAACTCTAGAGACTTTGGTTAACATTAAACGTACCTGGATTTATCTTATTATTATATAATTACTTATTTTTACATTTGTCAGTTTATACGAAATATTAAAAGATCCGATAAGTATATTATATGAAATTGTTGTCGTTTATTTAATTAGAAAAAAAATAATAAGCTGCATTAACTTATTGGACAATTTAATATTATAAATATTATTATTATATATTTAAAAAAAATTATGTTTAGTTTACTTATTTAAATTGGTATCGATTTTAATTATTATCCGACGTTAAATCCTTTGCATTTCAAAACATTTTGTTAATTCGTTGCTAGATAGTCAACCAGTAATTGAATACTACGACTGTAACTTAAAAGCGTTGATAACTTTTCAATATATATATATATAGTTATTGTACATACAAGATGAAATAAAAAAGAATTAATCTTTGATATACATGCAAAGAAATTTTACTATGTAATTGTACTTTTATTATTTTTTCTTAAAAATTATCGACTAATACTGTTCGACGTAGTTTTGCTCGAACCTGTTGCATCGTTAACATAATGCCTGAGTAGCGATTGTAACTTGATACGAGAATATAACCACGGCCGGTGCTAATTGGATTTTACGTACATTAACCGTTCGTTTAACGACTCCCGACGATAAGCTAATTCCGTTGGTGGTAAGCGTACTTAAACATTAGTGTCGAGTGTACAGAGATACGTTTACTTCATCATCATCATCTTCTATTTTCTTCTATTCTCTTCTATTGGAAATAAATGTAATTGTTAAAAACATACATTGTATAGGTATATACATTTATCAAATTTGCGTTTATGAGACAATCAATTCTTAACGAGTCTCGGTTGTACTCATTATTATGCAAATACACACCCACACACATACACACAGACCGACAGACATTTATGATAATAAAATAATTATTATAATATCGTTTTTAAAAAACGAAGAAACCTTTTTTAAGAACATCATCATTAGTGAGTACAATTATAACGAGTATATATTAAATAAATTCGCAATAAACATTTTCGTTATCAAACGACTCATATACGGGTTGTCGAATTTATATAGAAAGATACTCTTATCGAATAATGCTGTATATAACGAAAGGGTTAAAAAGAAACAATATTATAATAAGAAACTTAAATATTTGTTTTTTTTTTTTTATTTTACAGCGAGTAATCAAGCAAACTCGATTCTTCATTTGGAAATTCAAGAAAAAGAAATTGAAAGAGATATATAATAAAAAGATGGATAGAGAAATCGTGAATTCCCGTTTAATTAAAATAAATGACTAATAAATTTGATACAATGCGAACACGCGTACACGAGATAAAAAGAAGAACATTAATTTATTTTCAAAAAATAAAACACATTGTGTTTTTTCCTCGGTGCAGTAAATAATAAATATAAACAAACTTATATGTATTTCAATCTGCTTTCCTTTCTCTTTGTTTACGTAAGATTCCAATAGGATCACCAATCGAGACGTATATTTGCTTTTTCGATTTGACTTTGACTCGTGTACATTTTATACGTGCAAGGTTACACACACGTTGCCCGTGGTACTACACTTATGTCTCTGCTAGAGAGATAAATATATTTTTTATTCTTTTCATTTCTACAATATTTTAAAATAACGTACCTAAGTACTATCTTTTTGAAAATTCTTCAAATATGCGCATAAAAATGTAATACAGAGTAAACATTTTTCCGATCATTTGTCATATACCTTTTCTCCCTCACCATTTTCTATTATTTACTTTTCCCTATACATATTGCATGAAGAGAGGAACATTGAAACCCTTGAACGACGAGGTGTAGGATAAGTTCAATTCGTACACACATGCCTAGAAATGTAATAAAAATTCAATCGATGCATAACGAATGCATTGAAAGAGAGAAAAAAGAGTGTGAGGGAGAGAGAGAGAGAGAGAGAGAGAGAGAGAGAGAAATAACATCTCTCTTCCATCTTGTCTCGATCAAACGAGAAGAAAAAGAAGAAGAAGAAAAAGGTAGAAAATGTAGATTATAAATGAGAATGAAGGTTGAGAAGGAGAATCTAGCCACGAATACCAACAAGTTATATACATATACGCGTTCGCACGCATATTAAGTTCATACGAATGGGGTGACGTTCGTTCTCCGAAGGCAAATTAATTAAATTCGTAACGATTTTAATTAAATCGACGAAACGGGCATTGGTGACGACTACGAAGACGGTGACGACGACAACGTAGACGACAAGGAGGAGGAGGAGGAGGAGAAGGAGAAAGGGGTGAAGGGGGGAGCAGGGGTAGGAGAAGGATATGTTCGACTCACAGTCGTTCGCACAATCGATACTTTTAACGATCAAGAGAGTATACGTGTGTATATATACATATATATAGATATAAGAGAGAAACATCATACAAACATATAGAACAATGACTCGACATAGCATACGCGATATTCCAATTAACGTAGACGGGACCGTGACGTCGTTATCATACCGTGCATGCACGGGAATTATTACAGATATTTCAAAAACGCCTACGACAGGCCTGCGGCGCGACTTCTGCATACCGATGCCAGAATACTACGCTTGGAGAAGGAACTACTACCTAGGAGGGTTTCTGACAACGACATGAACCAAGGGAAACGAGAAAGAGAAAGATGGGATGAGATGAGATGCGAGTGTTTATGTGTATGTGTATGTGTGTGTGGGTGTTTGTGAGTGAGAGAGAGAGAAAGAGAATGTTAGTAATTGCAAGGAGTTCTGCTAGGCAAGGTTTTAATAAGCGTCATTTTTTCCCACCCCATTTTTCTCCTTTTTCTTCTTATTTCTTCCTTTTTTTTTTCAATTTTTTTACGAGACACATATTTTGTAGCAACCAGAAGAGGAAAATAGGAGAAAGGGTATATAAGAGTGGGAGAGACGGTTAATTATACCGCCAATTTTTATTCCTACGAGAACAACTCGCGACAGTGACATACAAAAGGGGGAAAGATATAATTTAATTGGATACGATATTCTCTGTTACGACCTTTCATCTTGTTGGATCTTCACAGATATATATATTCTTTCTTGCTTCCCTTCTTTTTCTTTTTCTTTTTCTTTTTTTATTTATCTATAACTCTGTCTTGTGATTCCTCCAAGATAAATATATCTATTCTCATTTCCTTTTCATTTATCGCGAAAAGTTTAACTGATATTATTTTCTCTTTTAATAGAAATAAAACAAAATTACATTCCCATGATGGTCGTATGTTTTCATTTTAACTTTATCTATCTATCTCTCGTATCTTTATATTTATCTATGATTGAAATCATATTACAATCGAACTTAAAAAACACACTTTTAATAATGACGATAAAATGAATTCTAACACAATAAATGCAGGAATGGTAAGAGAAAAATGTTACCAATCGTTTATACATTTGTTGCATATTCCACGCGTTTGAAATACTATTAGGTTAAAACACTCGAAATATTATTAACGTGTGTGTGTGTGTGTGTGGGTATGTGCATACATTTTCAGAACCTATGTAAAATGAAATTTGACTGTTAAAATGCATATAAATACCTACACCCTAGTTGCCACTACGAATTTGTCAATACCGATGCAATATGTAATGTACGCAAGCGTACATATATAACTTTGTCTCTCTCTCTCTCTCTCTCTCTCTCTCTATCTATCTATCTATTTCTCTCCCGTTATAAATCGAGAACGCTTAAACGCATGAATCCGCTATTGGAAACCCTCTAGCAAATTCTATTGCTAAAGTCTATGCGTTTTATTCATAAATAGTATTACACGAATGACATTTTCCCCTTGCCTTTTTGTTTTTGTCATAGCCTTTATTTCTTCCTTACCCCCTTTTTTATAATTACGTTCACACCAACAATCCTTTATAATCCCTGTATCTTTATTTCTCGTATTTCACTATTTCCGAACAAAATCAAATAAAAACGATCATACTACATGATAATAATAATAATAATAATAATAGTAATAATAAAAAAAAAGAGAAAATACGTCCAATAGCGAGATAAAGTATCGAATCTATTTAATCTGCGTGCTTTTCCAATATACTTTAACAAAAAAATCCCCATACCCGTGAGTTAGATTTGAAAATACTAAATTAAATAAATAATCCTATCTTGTGTATGGATTCGCAAAAGATTTAACAACAACAACAAAATAACCACCCATCCTCCCCCTTAAAAAAAAGAAACCGTATTACTTACCAATACTATTTTGTTCTCCGTTCTATTAAAATAAAGATCAATATTTTTGTGTTACAGAGAAAAATAGGAGAGCGATAGAAGAAGATAATCGTTGGAAGTAAAGAAAAAGAAGAAAAGAAAATATGTCGAGAAGGGGAGGTTGGAAAAATAACCGGCTCTTTTTTCTCATTGAAGATATCGAAGCAAACGATAGAATAGAAAGAAGAAGGTGCCACCAACATAACCACCGTCACCACATACACAACCGCCACTACCACCACCAGCACACCACCATCATCAAATCGTTTTCGTCTTCTTCTTCTTCTTCTTCTACTTCTTCTTCTTCTACTTCTTCTTCTTGTTCGATAACACGACTTGGTCTACCTCCCATTTCCTCGTTCTCCTCCTCGAGCTCATTGAGAATGTGTATCGGAGCGTAAGAAGACGTAGTAGCAGCAGTGGCAATAAAATGTCGTCCGCATTATCGTGAAAATGTGCGAAAGGGGGATGGGGTGGACTACAGCAGAAAGCTTTAGAGGGGGTTGGTCCACCCCCGCCGGTGCTGCGACTGTTGGATGTAGAAACTCCGCGATGAGTTTCGGGGGCAGTGTACCTTCTCTTCACCCAGCTGGTTCGATACGATCCTTACGTTCCCAGCATTCCATGCAGGTAACAAGATTACTATGTATTTCTTTCTACTTCGTTCACCCTTATCCATCTACTCACATTCGTACTTTTCTCTTTGACTTCGAGAAACGTTTTACTAAATTGCGATGAAATGTTCTCCGATTCGAAAGAAAGAGAAAGAGAAAGAGAGAAAGAAAGAAGAGAGACAAGGATATATGTGTATATATATATATATATTTCTTTCTTTTTCTTTTTTTTTCTTCTTTTTTTTTTTAACTATACATTCACCTAACCACAGCATGCAATTTTCAACGTAATAGTTCGACGATTCTTCTTCTCTCCGAGCACTTTAACGTCGATCAAAAAGTTACTTTCAACCATCTTTTTTCTTTCCCTCCTTTTATTTTCAACTATTCATTTGAGTTTTACGAGGAAAAGTTAACATCAACGATAAAGTTGAAGGGGACGAGGGGGGAAGGGGATGAAAGAGGGAGATCATTTGGAAGGCAGAAAATTTGCTCTTTTTTTTAGATGATTCTTTTTTATTTTCTTTTTCGTTGAATTTTTAAATAAAAAGGATCGTCTGATAAGTCGATAAAATTTCTGTTAAATTTAGAAAGAAAAATATATAAATTCTTCTAGGGGAATTTCACAGATTTTCTAATTCATCAAATAACTGACAGTAGAAATAAGATGTATGCCAAATTTAAATCAAAATCGATCGAAATAATTTTCGAGAAATCATTCCAACAATATTGTAATTATCGATATGTGACATGTATATCTATCATTTTAAATTTACCAAAAAAAGACAAACACATACGCGAAAAAATATTCTTTATATAGTCAAAATATAAATCATATACAATTCTTTTTATTTGAAAATAAAAATTTGAAAAAAAAAATAATAGGAAATTTTTAACCCTCTAAATGATCATCCTTCCCCACCTTAAAGAATTTATATTAGAAAATTAGATTTTATTTAAGTAAAGGATATTTGCGTATTCCCAAGTTGATTCGAAAATAGCCGATATAAAGGGAATTATCTCGGTGAATATTGTTCGATAGAGTCTCTATCTCTGTCTCTCTCTCTCTCTATCTCTCTCTCTCTCTCTATCTCTCTCTCTCTCTCTATCTCTCTTTGCAAGAGGATACAATAGCCAATAGAGATATCCGTTCTCTATAGGAGGTCTGATTGCGAAGCTATAGAAGCAACGAGGCGTACGTTTGATACCTAAATATTCGTATGTACCCTGTTCTAATTATCATCATCCTAGTTTCAGTTAATTTCCTATGCGCGTTATCCAGAATCTAATTATAAATATTTCGGAACGAGAATATTAGTATAGTTTTGTTATTTCATTTTTGTTGAATCTGTTTCAGTGTCCACAAGAGACACCACAAAGATGCATACACTGCCATCCCGTACACGCATCTAACACTCCTAACAATTACGTGCATCACCCTATGCAGTATTACACCCCCAGTCACTGTGCAGAAGCTCAACAACAGAATGGGACGTATACCCCACATCGGAGTTCTTATCACGGTGGTGAGTTATATCATTCAATTTTCAATTAGCATAAGTTAATGCAAATTGTGTTCGTACGCGCAATTCGTATATTATAAAGTCGGTGATAAAAATATATGAACAAGTATTGTCGTTCAGAATTGTTATCAAAAATTATTCTATTTATATCATTACAAGTTAGGATGAATCATATTTGTTGACAAGTTTGAAAGAAAAATAACATTCAAGAGTCGAGATCGATATTATTCGAAAAGTTTTTGGTGAAGTATTGTTGGTAGGAATTATATATAAGAAAATTATTATCGTAAAGGTTAATGTTGAAAGTTGGTAGTATGAATCAAGTTTACAAGGAAAACGCAGAAAATCGGATAATATGCGAAAATATACGAAGAAAAATGAAAGAATTGGAAGAGATCGTAGTAGAAAGAGTTAGGACGAAACCTTTAGAAAACTCAAAAAGAGAGAGAGAACACGCATAGCTCGTTGGTAAAAAGTAAAAGGAGCAAAAGGCTTTTCTTCCATTTTATGGTATCATTTTTCTACGTCGTATGCTAACTGCCTAGCACAATTGTCGTCGAATTCAACAACCCGTGGAATAAAACTACGAGGAATACGGAAAATCGAAACCCATCCATCCGATCGTCAAGTTTTCTCTGCGAGCTTTTATATCGAAATAGAAAACTTTTCAAGAGGTGACATTTAAAATGTTACCTTGGTCGTCGTAGTACCAAATTTTTATAAAAAAAAAAGAAAAAAAATATCTTTGATCGAAACGGAAAATATTAATGAAGGTACTTATATCACGTTCGATAAGTTTAATGGCTTAAACAGATACACACACAGAATGCAGTTTCGTTTAATCGTTAACAAAAAGAAAAAAGAAAAAGAGGGAAAAAGTTGGTTGTAGGAATAAAATCGAGTTTGAGAGAGTAGAGAAATGAAACGCAATATTATTCTGAACGGTCGAAGTTCATTGTGCGAAGAGAAAATGTTACGATGCTATTATCTCGAGTTTATAGTGAAACTTGTATAATCATAGTAAGAGAGAAAGGGAACAAGACGCGAGAAATCGTGTAATATGCGAAATACGAACACACTCCAACAGCTACTTGTTAGTTTAGATTGCAACGCTTTGCTAAACATACTTTTGTGAAAAAGAGAAATAATTCGGTTTACTGTTTACGGTGGCTGCTTTTCATTGGGAACACAAATTTCTATTGAAAGAAATAATAACAAGAATATTAACGTTTGTATTAATCCTATCATTCCATAGAAATTGTCTACCGATACGACCTTTACATGGGATCAATAAGAACGAAAGGGTTAATATCATTTAACTATTTGCACGAGTTTGAATAAATCTTCTTTGGTATACGACCTGACCGAATAATCGGGCAGAAACCATTATGGAAATTTGAATTGGTAATGGTTAAAGTATCGATAAGAAAGATCAAGGAAAGCTGTCATCCGAATCGAAAGATCACAATTCATTTTCAAAGATACTTTGTCCTGACGAGAGAAGCGTGAAATTCAATTTAATCGTCTCTAGACCTTTCGGAACGAGCTCGTCAGCAATTTTTATGCCCAGCACACTTTTGCGACACCTACTTAATGGCGGCCTCGTAATTCCTTCCACGATAATTTCATATCCAGAAGTGTCAGGATTTTTATACCAAACTCCATTTTCTACGATATATATAACCCTTTCTCTTTATTCATTCTTCCTTTCGAGACACTCAACCATTTTTTATCATCGTTAGAAAAAATTCTACATGTTCGACAAAATGATAATTCATTAGTTAATCAAAATTGCATTAATTAATATTAATAGTTCCTATCAAATTTTAATTCTTATCTTTTTCAATATTTTTACAGTATTTTTTTTTTATTTATGATATTAGAATCAAATGATAATTGTTCTCTAACGATTATTTTTTTTTTTTAAGTTAAAAAGTTTAAAATTAAATTGTCGTGGAAATTTGAATCCACGTAGGTGAAATATTTTCACTTTTCTATTTCACAATCATCGACCCGTTTTTCTGCACCTTTGCTACAACGACGCGTCACTGACTCTTCCCTCTTATTGTTAGTCCCCTTCTTCTTCTTTTTTTTTTCTCTTTTTCTTTATCTCACACACAGTTTAATAGATCGTCTCTCTTTCTCTCACCCTCACTACCTATCTTTTTTTCTCTTTATCTTCTTTCGTTTCTTTCACGAGTTAAAACTTGTTCCGTACTATTATTTTTTAAGCCGCTTTTCTCGAGATTATAATGGAACACGTGTAATTATTCGATTCAAATCTAAGTAACAATTATATCTTTTTTAAAAAAAAAAAAGAAGAGGAAAAAAAGAAAAATTAAGAAATCACGGGCATATATTACAGATGATTAAAACTCATGTCGGAATTATGAAGAAAAAGAAAAAGAAAAAAAATAACATTAATGAGAATGAAATTACAAAAAATTTTCAGTAGAAACAAAAAGTGAAAGAAATTTAGTAGATTTCATTTTACTTTATACTTAAATACGCGATTTTGACGAGTCAGTAGTACGATATCTCACTTTCCACTTTACAGTCATCTAAAGCTCTTTTCTCTTTACCTTTTACTCAAAGTACCATCGCTTTTCTGCCCTTGCACGTTATACTGTCATCTGCCTTTCATGAACACTTTGACCTAAGTCTTTCTTTCCGTGTTTCTCTTTCTTTTCCATTAAAAAATATTCACCTTTCTTTCTGACTCTTTTTTATTCTCTCAGACAAACTTACGCGCCCAACTATACATTTTCAAACGAAGAAAATTTAATTATAATATTATTAACGATGTAAACTAAAAATATGCATAATAATATAAAAAATGAATATGACGGGGGTAATAAGATTTTTAATATAACCGATAAATCCTCCCCCATAGAAATTCTTACGTTAAATACTCGACAATATCTCTTATCGATTAATCGGAAATCGATGTCCTACTGTCAATATCGAAAATGCTAGGATATATGCTCTGAAGTTAATATCACGATATTCCTTAAACTATCGTAAAACGAAAAATCCAAATTGTTAGATGCTCGAGGTAAACTTTGATGGAAAAGAAATACGTTTCTACCCCTTTTCCCTTCTCTCGCAGAGTTATCTAACAAAAAAAAACAAACAACAAAAAAATACGCACACACACACATAAAAAACGTTGAAGATAAATTATAATATTACCATAATCTACATATTTTTTTCTAATATTCTTTGAAAAATTACGAATTTTCCGAGCAAAAATGATATTACAGGTATAACCTACCGACCAATGTAAGGTTCGTAAATTTATTGAAAAAAAATAAATAAAATAAATAAAAAAAAATGATACTCGTGCAAGTTGTAGGAAAATTTTCTCTTAATAATTTTTCTTCTATCTCGTACGTATATGCTCTCGTAATATACATGAATATTGCTGAACCATGATAAAATAATTCGAAATAAGACGAGATCCTTCGATCGTTTCACGTAAAGTGTTATCGAACTCTCCCTCTCGACATCTCTCGTATTTCTTTTTTCACTTTGTATCCTTCTATCTCTCTCTTTTTCCCTCTTGTCGTCTCCAGCTGTCCGAAACACGCAAATACAGCGTTACGAAGCTGAAAGATACCCTCGGTTGAAGCTCCTTAAGAAGATACACCACCGTTTTTCCCCCTTTCCAATTCCTTCTTTTTAATACCTTGCTACTACTAGTCTCATCTTTTTCCCCCTTTTTCTTCTTCTTCTTTTTCTTCTTGTTCTTTTTCTTCTTGTTCTTTTTCTTCTTTTACTTCCTCGTCAACAACTTCTGAAAAGAAACTCTGACGATTCGTAACCATGTATAATTTGCATACGAGCTACTTTGGTAGATATTTTCCTAAGAAAGCAGACGCGCGTTTTGAGTGTACCACTTTCAACGTAATCGTGTAGGTATCTTTCTTTTTCCTTCACCCCTTCCTCCCCATTCCCTCCTTTTGAATTAATACAACGAAGATTTTGTTCTCTTTAAAAATTCGTTCTCGTAACATTTGATATTTCATTTCTTATTCAAATTGTATCCAATTACAACTGAATATATAATTGAAATAAAAATGGTTCGTTGTCATGATAATATCTGGATTTATTGTGTTAACTTGAGGATGTTTGAGAAGTACAATCGGAGGTAAAAGTGCTGAAAATTATAAATTCGTTAATATCTATGACGTTTTACAAAATGTTATGAAATAAATTAATTATGTCAATGCTAAAAAAAAAAAAAAAAAAAAATAATTTTGAATGGTAAAAGGATGGTAGAAAATTCGAAATAACTTTTTACAGTGAATAACAGTAATTACAGTAATTTGATTATTTTCAGACACTCGAATACGTTACACGGATACGGAAGAAAGTTTGGCAGGAAACGCAAATTGGGTCCTCGGTGATTTACGAAGTCTTCATCGTTGTGTTCCCGCATTGCGACGTACAGGTACAACACAGACCATAATTTCAATTCGAACATTTTCTTCCTACCACCACGGTATATAATATAGAACGGTAGGAATTTGATTTCGGATATAACGTTGAATCTTCGAACTTATGCAAATGTGTTTGTTTAACAATGTGTACCTAAACGATTCCAAAGATTAATTAAACTTAACGGCTTCGAAGACTGATTTCGAATGCGGGATCACGAACCGTTTGAAAATTCAATTCAATTTGATTATTATTTTCTTATTCTTACGATAATTCGAATAAGTTAATCATCATTTTATAAAGTCACAAATTTCTTGGTTAATGCAAGAACTTAAAAAATAATAATCAAAAAGATTTTTTGCGATATAAAATTTTCAGCAGTGCTTACATTTTAATATTTGATCTTATAAATAAGAATTAAATCTAACAGAAAACATATATATATATATTATCAAATTACTGAAACCATACCGCAAGAGAGAAAGAATAAATAAAATATTACAAATAAAACACGTTCCGCAAATAAAAATTTCGTATAACAGGTTCTTGCATCGACAAAAAATATTGCGAAATAAATAAAATGAAATAGAAGGAGCTGTTGTAAATAAGATAATCTTTACTGTCAGGCATAGACGTTGCCGGTATGCGAGCACATTTCTATCCAGAGGGTGGCTGGGGGTGGTTAGTATGTGCAGCTGGCTTTCTCGCCCTGTTGCTCACTACAGGAATGCAACTCGCCTTCGGGTTTCTTCATCTTTATGCTGCGCGCCATTTCGGCGAGTTACACATGATGGACATAGGTATGTTATTTGTTATCTTTTCGTTTAAAAAGTACAAAAAGAAATTCTAAAAAAAAATGATATGTGGTTAGAGTAGAATCCACCCTAAAATGTGATTGGCTTAAAAACAATTCTCCTACATATGTATTTCAAAAGCATATGAATGTTACACGAAGTTGCATGAAAAATCTTATCCCATTTCTTTCTAAATATTAATCAAATATATAAGAGTAATTGACATACCTTAAATGATTGTTAATTAATCGAAAGAAATTTATATTGTAGTCTAAAAATACGGAATATAAGTTCGACGTACATTCTTCCTCGAAATTCATCGTTACACTGGCACATTGTCCTCTATGAAAGTTCTTTTATTGATTGCTATTTATATGACTTTCAAAAGAACACATTCCACTTACTACGAATATTATTTTCGTTATACATATATATATATAGCCTTAGGAAAGTCATATAAACAAGAATAAATAAGAAATATGTTAACTGACTTTCCTAGAAGACAAAGTGTCAGTCTTTCGTTGGATTTCGAAGAGAACGTTACATCAATCTTAAACTCCTTGTTTTTAGACTACAATATACATTTCTTTTGAATAATAAACAATCAATTAAAGTAAATCGAACATATGATACTGTACTTCTGTAATATTTTAGATTTTTCAAACTAAAATACATTTGCATTAACGTTCCTGGCAAGTGATGATTTTTAATTTCAAATTTGCATCTAACAAAATATCAGATAGAAATTGTTTAATATCTGAATTATACTAAATAGGTATATAAGTTTTAAACAAATGTATTTTATATATATAATTCTTACTTTAATGGGTATTAAACTCAATCTGACACGAACAAACATATACACACGCAATAACTAATACAAAAATCTTCCATAATGTTGTTGTCGTCCTCTAAAAAGTTTCACTTCAAAAAAGCGAAATATATTGCAAACAATATTTATTATATTTATTTCGTACAATGCTCGGCTTATGGCTCGGGCAATGTACGAAATGGCCGGTCATTTTATTTCCGACCTATAAACCCATAAGTCATTCTTTTTTCCGACACAAGAAACACAAAAATCTTCCATAATTTCGTTCAACTCTCTCTCTCTCTCTTTCATATTGTTTCATAAAATTTTGTCGTTGCCATCCCCTAAAAGGTTTCATTGCGAAAAAGCGAAATATATTTCAAACAATACTTTTATACACGTTGAGAATACTACGATAAATTATTTTTCGTTACCGTATGCATCGACGCGAGTATTTTTGTTCATATTAAAATTGATAGACCCTTAAATAGGTCGGTGGGTGATTCATACGGGATCTTTGCATGGTCGACTCGTATATGGGTCGCTAGTAATGAAAGAGTTAAATTTTTTATATTATACTTCTTGCCAACGTAATTTTCATTTACTCGGAGATATCTCTTATGAAATATATCGAAAAAAAATATACCGCAAGAGGAAAAAATACAAGAAGACACGTAAATAACGCTCCAATAATTTTAAAATAGAATACAATGAAAGAGAGTCGAGCTTATGTTCTTTACTCTCATTAATTCTAGCGTATATACTTACTTAGTTACTTACTTTGCTACTTCGTTCATACACAAATATATGTAAGAGTATATCTGAAGATCGATAAATGGCAGAACTCGAAGAATCTGTCGTAGCGATTTATTAGGCTCGTTATCTTGATATAATACTTAACCTTTAAGCTACTAGAACAGAAAGAACATGAGAAAAAATGGAGTAAGTATATTGGGGTCAATGGCGAAAAGTACTTCGGAAAACACATGTGAACACGTAACCAATGGAGTGTTGAAGCTCTTATCGACGATATAACCCAACAAAAGCTGAAAATTATTAAACGTGTTTTTTAATTTATTGTAAAAGAAAAAACGAATTATATGGCTGGTGTTGAGAAATATTAAGAAATCATTTTTCCAAATCTAGAATTAACTGCAACTCCAAACTATTATATAATATTTCGAAACAATTAATAATACAATTATTAGTTCTTTTTTTTTAAATTTCTATTAAACTTTATTAAAGGATATAATTAATAATAATTATTTTTACTAATATTGTAACGAAGTTACATATGAATATGTCAATGAAATACCAATAAAGTAATTAACCATCTTACTAATATAAAATCGTTTAAATTACTGATTGAATTTCGATATATCCAAATTTCAATAGCAACTCAAGTCAACTGATTAATATTCCATCCCTCGAGGAAGAGTAATCTTCTTGGCATCGTAAAGCGCGATACGAGTTACAAATTTAACGGATTTATTAATACACGATACTCCTAATCGATTTACATCGAATATCATTTAAACAAATAGGTACTAAAATTATCTCCAAATATACAAATTGAATTCGTCTTGTCTTCCGGTGTGCCGTGTCTAGTTTCGCATCGAAATATCGTTCATTTAAAATAAAAATAATAAGAATTTATAGTAACGAAAACGATTCTCTTTCTCTTTTTATTGATCTGTAACAATTTTATCCAACTATCTTTCAAGCATACGCGAAACGGCGGCAGAGGGCAAAAGTTGTCGAACTTCTTACCGAATCTTGAGGAAGTGAAACTCCGCGGAAGAAAATAAGTTTCCATTCTCGAGGATCGGAAAAACACATTTTCTAAATCCCGTTGCGCAGCTAGCACCATCTCTCTCTCTCTCTCTCTCATAGACACAGACACAAATTCATATAAACCTTCTTCTTCTTCTTCTTCGTCGTTGTCGTCGTCGTCGTCTATTCGTTTTCTTCCTCGAGGGAACGAGGAAGAATTTTCTAGCCATTCGCGGGGATCCATTTCATGCACACTTTCGACAGGGTTTAATCTTCAACTAGGAAATTCCCCGAGATAATCCACCAAATACGATCGTTTCCTAACACAGAAAAAGAGAGAGATCAATAGATCGATAGACGAATAGCGAAAGATAGAAATAAAAAGGGGGGGTGGGGTGGATGGGGTGAAGGGAGGTCGGCTTGAGGGGGAAACTGGGATGGCAAGAGTTATCTCAGAGAAAAATCACAAATACGTATCGAAGTAAGGTGACGACGAGTTTTGCGAACGCACTTTAATCTCGTCCCATCGGGATTCCCATCAAAAACTTTTTCCCACGGTAAGAATTTTCTCCTCTCTAACACACGTCATTTATTCGTTATTTCTCTTTCTATTCAAGGACATTAATTCTCAACTACACGAACTATCCTTTTCCTTATTCTAAATCCTCCTCTGACAAAATATACATCAGACTTTACTCCTTAAAGTCTAATTATGTATTCGCTTTGATCAAAGTAGACACTGGAATTACGACTACAAAGTACGAAGTTTTAATCTAAAGAGAGAGAGAGAGAGAGAGAAAGAGATTAGGAAGTTCGAATGGTCGTCTAGGAAGAACTAATCTTCATAAAACATAACAATGTTTTAATATATATTCAATATTTATAACAATATAATATATAATACACAATTAAATCCTAATTTTTTATTATAATGATTATTATTGCAAGATATTATTTGTAATCCTACTTAGAAGATATAGACTAACGTAATTCGATTAACTTTCTCTTATTGTTAATAGAATTTTGTTGATTAATATATTAAAATGTTACAAATCTTTGTTCTTTAATTTTACAATTAGATCAGTCAACTCACGACTATCTTCCATTTCATTCTTACTCCTAATGTGTATATCATACTTCTCATACAAATTTACAAATGCATCTCGGAACATTGATCGACGCATCTCATACACAAGCACACACACACACACACGACTAACTAACTCTAGATCCTTCCATATCCTCGTTCAATTGTTGATCAACTTATTTCATCGCGTACGTATGTACACACACACACACACAACTGTATAACGTTACTAGGGCCTTCCATCCAACATTATTTAAATAAATTGTATATTATAATTAATATTAAAACAAAATTGAATAATATCGTTTCATATAAATTTGTAATCGTCATATTGTGCGAAATAATATGGATCGCTCATAACGATTTATTTAACAAAACATTAAATATACATGTAATACGAAATATTGATCAAATTAATAGTAAAAGGGGAATAAAAATATGATCGTTATGTAGGAATGATTTGTGGAATGATTTGGATTAAAAGAGACATGTGATCCTGGAGGATAGAATGTTAGGAATTCTGTCCTCGGAGTTGTCCCCTCAGGGAGGACTGAATCATCGACTAGTATTTACTGTTCGAGTGAACACACCTACGTATGTATATATCAACCGCATCCTAGGTAATCTCTGAATGTAGACCAACGTAGTACGACATACACTATCTAATGACATATACGAGCGCAACCGGCATTGACCGCAGTAGTCTCTCCTCTTCTTCTCTCTCTCTCTCAAACATACACACACACATATACTCTCTTCATCCACCAATAGCACACCCGTACAGAAGTTTCCGTCTATGAAGAAGATACGGATTTATGGACCGCACGCAAAGTATCATCAATTTTTTCTTTCTTAACTTCAGATCAAAGCTCTACTTAGTTTCCATCAAATACTATCCAAAATTTCGATTTATTTATTGTGTTCTTAATATTTTCAATAATTTCAACCGATATTCCTAATAATATTTCAATCAAATTTTGAAGCCATAAAAAGTGATCCTACGTGTGTGTGTATTCAAGATTCAGTTAGCTATCAAAAAGTTTCATTCATATTGCGATCACGTAGGAGTATTCCTGTGACGATCTTCAGGATTACTAGAATAAGACAAGCAAATGTTAAAACCTAACGTTTTTCCTCTCTCTCTCTCTCTCTCTCTCTCTCTCTCTCTCTCTTTCTCTCTTGCTCTCTCTCTCTTTCCTTTCTTTTATTTTCGTTTAAACGTCTACAGAAAAATATATATCACTTTTCTTGAGCAAAGCTGCAGCATTGCCCCGAGGACTCTGGGGAAACACAAGAAAGGAAAAGAGAAAGAAAAAGAAACAATATCTAACCTTT